TAATGCAAATGAGATTGGATATTCGTTAGGGTTAATTGCGCAGTAAATTGCCAATAAATGCTTTCGATTTAGGCAACTGCTTATAGATAGATGATTATCAATGTGATACAGATAAGTGATATGATCATATTAGTAATAATCCATATATACCATTGACCGGAATTGACAAATGCAAGCCCCAGAAAATGTGCATTAAAAGATACTATACCTGATCTTTGCATATTTCATCCTTTCTAAATTTGAAATTTCCAATTTGTATCGTAGAAATCCGTTATTCATCTCAATCAACGATTCCGTCAAACATACATCACTTCTGAGCAAAGATCAAAGTACATTATAAAGATCAAAGAATATGGAGGAAAATGAAATGGCGAAATAATATTATGAATATGAATTATATGAATATTTTGCATGTATTGTAACAAATATCATAACTAGAAGTAAATTAAAAAAAAAAAAAAAAAAACGGTCATTAGATCAGGGAAGCTGTAAAATTTGAATATACACTTTTTCATTCTTGTAACTTTTCCCGTCCATCTCGTTTACCTCAAAAAATATGAATCAAACTTCCAGTAAACTGTTATTTTAATGTATTCATTTTGATAAATCGTCATGTAAATCTTTTGATTCCTAATATTTTTGATAAGATTTAAATCTTAAATTATTCAAAAATTAGCTCTAATTGTTTCAATTCCTCTCCCGTACTTTTTGTATTTTCCGAATTACAATTTTCTAATTTGCATTTTTCCACATTCATTAAAATGTCAAAAATGATACAAGAAATAACCATCGATATCCATGTAAATGCTAGATACCATAAATGTGATGGTTATGCGATACGTATATCGATCACATCTATGATACCTAATATTAACTAATTTAATTTAAAATTAAAATAGTTGGATTAAAGATTTGATTCGTAATAAAATCCATACTTTTAATGATTTCTAATACAAACACAAACATTTTTTCAACCTATTATATTGTTAAATTTTCAAAATTTTCCACAGCATCTTAAATATATTGTAAATTAATAGCAATTAATGAATCGAAAATATTGCAAATTTTTCCTATTTAATTAAAATCTTCTATATTTCGTTACTTTTTTCCTTGTCAATTGTTAGGATAATATTTATATAGTACGATACCAGTGGAAGAGAATTTTTTTATGCTGAATATTAAATAGCACAAAAACTTATTCTTATTTATAAAATAATAAAAATTATCTGAAAAAAACCTTAGAAAAAAAAATACAGTTGAATACTGATCGTAACATCTCAAATATTTGTTATAGTAATCATTTAACTATTATTTTGTTTCATCGTATCTTCCTTTGTAAATGCTACATTGAAAATTTCCTCTGTAAAAACATACCCTTACAATGGTATCAAAATCATCAAAATTCATTATGAATTTTGAACATATGGGATTGAAATTAACATAGAAAATGATAAACTGGAAATTAAGAAATATATATGCAAAAATAAATTTCACATTTTCAAAAATGAAATTTATTGAAAAAAAAATGAAATTTATAAATTCAAAAATGAAATTTATTTATAAGAATGAAATTTATTTTGAAATTTATTTGGAATTCCAAAGAAAATTGAAAATTTTTGAAATTTCAAATTTTTTTTAAAATTTTAAGTTTGAAATTAAAAAAAAATGTTTGAAAATTTATTTGAAACCTATTTTTGAAAAATAGATTTTACATTTCACAAAAATAAATATATGCAAAAATAAATTTCACATTAAGATTGAAATTCAGACATTTAGCAAATACTCACATTATATATATATATATATATATATATTTGTTTCAGACAGAAAAAAACTTTAGACCACTGATTTGATCTTTTCACAGAAAAAGAAATTGGTTAAATCTCTGCCAATATTATTCATCAATACATCTCTTAGCGATAAGCTTTTCGATTACCCGATCTGGTCATATACATCTATATCAACTTCGTCGTAATCCCACAATTTATTGTTTAAGCAAATTCAAATAGCAAGCAAGTCACTATGTTAAATTGATATCATGCAAAAATGGCTTAACTTCAGTAGTACACAAGATGTTACGCAATATAACAGGAAGAAAAATAATTTATTTAATCACTCCCATGAGCATAAAGTAGAAACATTGAATGAAGATTAAGAAAGTTCATGTTACTTGAAAGCAAACGTAAATAGTACAATCCATTTAAGACAACGAACGAAATATGAAATATAATTTATCGCAGTTCGAATCAATATCAGAATCCTTGCTTTATCACTTACAGTTCTCCTGAAATCCATACCAAAACTTCGCAGCTATATTATTCAAAGCCAACAGTATTTCTCAAAAGAAGAAAAAAAAAGAAAGGAAAAAACATACATAACTTTTCATATTAAAAAAAGCTAAGATCATACTTGTCATCTTATTGTTTTTTCCATCTACTGATTATGCCTGACTTTTTCAAGCTTTCCCAGATTACTGAAGCACTCGGTTCATCTGAAATCAAGAAAAATGAAAGAACTCTAAATAGTCCAATATTCATTAATTTTTTAATCATGAGAAAAAAGTACTGTGAGGCTACCATACTACTTCAAATACTCACCTGCAAATCGGAATATGCGCTCGTGCCTGCAGCACCAGAATTCTGCAAACCATCGGCAGGAAATTGCCTTATCGAAACTGGTCCTAAATCTGTCTCTCTATCCTGAAACAACCTGAAACTGATGAAGTATGGATATTCTTAAGATATACAAGCTACTCAGATTTTCCTGCTTGCGTAAAAATTTAATGAACTCAGAACTATTTGAAGTTTCCATTCTCTCAAAAATAAAACACCATACTGATGCCACCACTGAAGAAACCGATTACTTCGTTCAAACCTTATTCCGAGTTTGCGACTGCATTAAATGACTATAAAAAGCAGTTTGATTTTGAGTTCGATCTTTCGATTTCGCAACCACTTCTTTGAGTTCCGCGAATAATTTACTTTTTGCTTCATCTAATTCAATCTTTCTCGCATTTAGGCAATGAATCTGAAAACCACAACAAGAATCGACAGCTTCATTTACATATACTCCAATTTTTAATATCGAATGTTTTGTTCAAGCGCCTTAGCTAGCTAACCTCACAGATATTACACGTACATATATATATATATTTGATGTTTTATAACCCACTTCGAAATATTTAGAGTTTAACATTTCAACCCGTGTCATTTTCCACTTAAACATAAGTAGGCACTACTGGAAAAAAAAACAGCAATGTTGGAGCTAATTTTACTGACCTAATAATTGGAAAGTATGAAAACAACTAGTTTACTTTTTTTCACATTCTGCTATCTCTTCTTTGTACCAAGCATGTTTCTCTTCCTCATTTTTACGTTCTTCAGCACGTGCTGCACGAGCTGCGCGATCTGCAATAACTTCAGAAGATTAAACATCAGACATTTACAGAAATCACACCAGAAGGGAATTATAATTTTAGGTTACAAAAGATGAAAATGGAAGAATTTGTACAGAAAAAGATCAATTAAGAAGTCAACCTGATATACTTTGGATATTAAGCCTGCCTCATACAATTCCATTTTTGTTTTTTTTTTTTTGCTTACGATTGAATATATGGCATATGCGCTCATAGCAATTGATGAAGCACATAGCAGACAATCTATTATCAAGAATGGAAGTACTAAATAATAATCTACAATCAGAAGCAAAAGACCACTTATCAGTACGCTTTATCACTGGTATGAAATAAATAATGAAATTAATCCAGAACTGATTAAATACAGAATAAATTAAACTAAGGAAATTTTTACACCTTGACTGAATAGAACTTTTATATCTAAGCCAAATGGAATTTTTTTTGAATCACTACAAATTTTAATTCAAAATATGAAACCTCTTTCCTCTTCTTTACGTCGTGTCATAATCTGATCCAGTATTTTTCGGCGCACAGCATCTGTAGGTGGCAACAATGGTTTCCAACCAACGGGCAATGTTTTTCCTATTCCACGCCTTCGTGATAAGAATTCTGCGATACGGTTATCAGTAACTGATGAAGAAGCTGCTGTTGCTGCTGCTGTTGTTATTGTTGTTGCTGTCGTTGTTGTTGGTGTCGTTGTTGTTGTTGTTGTTGTTGCTGTTGTTGTTGTTGTTGGTGGTGGTGCTGTTGGTGTTGTTGTTGTTGGTGTTGTTGTTGCTGGTGTTGCTGTTGTTGGTGTTGTTGTTGTTGGTGTTGTTGTT